TATTGTGAAATACATTAAGGAGTATAGGTATTAGGTCTTCTCAGAAATTCTGGTGGAATTCTGCATTGAAACCATCTGGACCTGGGCTTTATTTGGTAGGGAGGTTTTTGATAAAAACTTCTAATTCTTCGCAACTAACAGGTCTATTTAGATTGTTCATGTGTTCCTGGTCTAACTTTAGTATATGGTACTCATCTAAAAAAGTTTCCATTTCTTTAACATTTTTCAATTTTTTGGCATATAGGCTTTTGTAATAAGATCTAATGATTTTCTGAATTTCCTCTGTGTCTGTGGTTATGTCTCCCTTTTCATTTCTTATCTTGTTAATTTGTGTATTCTCTCTCCGCCATTTGATTAGTTTGGATAGGGGTTTATCAATCTTGTTGATTTTCTCCAAGAACCAGCTTCTTGTTTCTTTGACTCTTTGGATTGTTTTCTGTGTTTCTATTTTGTTGATTTCAGCTCTTAGTTTGATTATTTCCAGTCTTCTACTCCTCCTAGGTGAGTCTGCTTCTTTTTTTTTCTAGAGCTTTCAGGTGGGCTGTTAAGTCTCCAATGTGTGCTTTCTGTTTTCTTTAAGTGGGCACTTAGTGCTATGAACTTTCCTCTTAGTACTGCTTTCATAGTGTCCCATAGGTTTGAGTATGTTGAATCTTTATTTTCTTTGAATTCAAGAAAGACTTTAATTTCTTTATTTCTTCCTTGATCCAGGTGTGGTTCAGTAGTTAACTGTCGGGTTTCCATGAGTTCGTTGGCTTTCTGGGGGTAGCATTGTTGTTGAATTCTAACTTTAATCCACAGTGATCCAATAAGACACAATTGGTTACTAATTTTTTTTTGTAACTGTGGAAGTTTGCTTTGTTACCGAGAATGTAATCATTTTTGGAGAAGGTTCCATGAGCTGCTGTAAAGAAGGTACTTTCTTTCCTATTTGGATGGAATGATCTATAGATGTCTATTGAGTCCATTTGATTCATTACCTCCCTTAATCCTCTTATTTCTCTGTTAGGTTTCTGTCTGATTGACCTGTCCATTGGTGAGAGAGGAGTGTTGAAATCTCCTACTATTAGTGTGTTTGGTTTGATGACTGCCTTGAGTTTTAGTAATGTTTCTTTTACGTACGTGGGTGCTTTTATATTAGGGGCATAGATATTCAGGATTGAGATTTTGTCCTGATTAATTGTTCATGTTATTTGTAAAAAATGTCCCTCTCCATCTCCTCTCATTGATTTTAGTTTGAATTCAACTTCGTTAGAAATTAGTATGGCCACACTTGCTTGTTTCTTCGGTCCATTTGCTTGATAAACCTTTCCCCAGCCCTTTACTCTGAGTAGATGTCTGTCTTTGTGGTTAAGGTGTGTTTCTTGTAAACAGCAGAATGTTGGATCCTGTTTTCATATCCAATCTCTTAGCCTGTGTCTCTTTTTAGGTGAGTTGAGTCCATTGATATTAAGTGATATTAATGACCAGTGGTTGATAACTCCGGTCATTTTTTATTTTTCTTTTTTTTTTTTTTTGGTATTAGAGTTTGTGTGTTTCCCATCTTTGAGTTGTGCTGTTGAAGGGTCGTTAGATGTCTGAGCTATTGTGGGCATTGTTGTATTCCTTGGGTTGTGATTTTCCTTCTATTCCTTTCTGTAAGGCTGGATTTGTGGCTACGTATGTTTTAAATTTGTTTTTATCCTGGAAAATTTTGTTTTCTCCATTTATAGTGAACGAAAGCCTGGCTTGGTATAGTAGTCTGGGCTTGCATCCATGGTCTCTTAGTTTTTGCAGTACATCTATTCAGGACCTTCTGGCTTTCATGGTTTCCATAGAGAAGTCAGGTGTAAGTCTGATAGTTTTACCTTGACCTTTTTCCTTTGCAGCTCTTAATATTCTTTCTTTATTCTGTGTATTTTGTGTTTTGATTATTATATGGTGAGTGGATTTTTTTTGATCCAGTCTATTCAGTTGTCTGTATGCTTCTTGAACCTTTGAAGGAATAGCTTTCTTTAGGTTGGGAAAGTTTTCTTCTATAATTTTATTAAATATATTTTCTGGACCGTTGAGCTGTACTTCTCCTTCTTCTACCCTTATTATTCTTAGGTTTGATCCTTTTATTGTGTCCCAGATTTCCTGAATGTTTTGTGATGAGAATTTGTTGGTTTTGCTGTTTTCTTTGATCAGTTTGTTTATTTTCTCTATGGTATCTCCAGTGTCTGACATTCTTTCTTCTATCTCTTGTAATTTTTGGTAGTACTTGTCTCTGTAGTTCCTGTTCGTTTACCCAGATTTTCCACCTCCATCCTTCCCTCAGTTTGTGTTCTACATTATTTCCATTTCATTCTTCAAGTCTTGAACCATTTCCCTTACCTGTTTGATTGCTTTTTCTTGTTTCTCTTGGTTGTCTTGGGTATCTTTGAGAGATTTATTCATTTCCTCTACCTTTTTGTTTGTGATCTCTAATTGTTTATGGCAGTTTTTCACCTCCTGTTTAAGGTCTTCTATTATTTTCATATAATTCAGTTTAGAGTCGATTTCTTCTGTTTCTTCTGGAGTAGGGTGTACAATTCTTCTTGTTTCGGGATCCCTGGATTCTGGTGATGTCATGTTGCCTTTCAGGTTGTTAGAGGAATTCTTGCATTGGCGCCTTCCCATCTCTTCATTCAAATGGAGCCAGGAGAGGCCTGGTGTCTTGGTCCAGTCTTTGCTGTGACTGACTCTCTGGGTGGATCTCCTCAGTGTAGAAGCAGGAACCGTTCCGTGCAGATGGAGCTCCTCAGCACCGAAACATGGACTTCTGGTAGTCCAATGACCTGCGGACAAAAGGGCGAACTTTAAGGGGGGGGGGGGCTTGGCGGGGTCGGTAGAGCACAGGAGACCCTACAGCACAAGCTGAAGGTGCCCACGATCTCTTTTGGGGATCCTAGAAGCCTCACCGATAGGCAGGCACTCACTGCTCTTGGTGGGTATACTTAGTGTAGGAGCAGAGAACTGTTCTTGAGCAAAGGACTTAACAGACAACAGGCCAGGCTTGGGGGGGGGGTGGGCTGGTTGGTGTGTAAGAAAGACAGCCCTGTAGCAGGAGCTGGGGGAGAGGGGGTTGTGCTCTCTTCCGGGACAATCTGCCCCTGGATAGCACACACTCACCCATCCAGATGGAACTCCTCAGCACTGAAACCACTGCTAACCAATCTTAACTTAATAGAGGAAATGACTTATTTAGGTTATAATCCACTATTGAGGAAGCAAAGTTATGAATTGCAGCAAGAATATGGAGGCAGAACTGAAGCAGAGACAGTGAAGGAACACTACTTGTTCCTAAAGGCTTACTAAGCTTGTATCTTTATACAGCCCACGAGCATCTGCCCTGTGATGGCATTGCCAAAAATGGAGTTCACATTGACCATTAAGCAAGAAAATGCACACAGGCATGCCTTCAATCCAATGATTTGAAGACAATTCCTTAATTGAGTTTCCCACTTTTCCAGTGATTCCAGTTTGTGTCAAATTGACAAAACTAACCAGTAAAACAAAAAAAAAAGTTTTACATTTACAACATTATTACTTGTTGAAAAATGGTGACTTGCCCATTTCCCTGGAATTGTCTTAACCATTACTTAACATAGGAGAATTTAACTTTGATGATTCCCCATCCATCAGTGTTTATTTTCTATAATGTTAATTTAAAATGCAGTTCAAGAAGTCAAAGAAATTATTTCTAAGCATTCTATCATGTGTGCAATGGGCCCATTATTAAGTCTCCTATTTGTAAGAACATTAGAAATCTCCATTAGAATTAATGTGTTTAATTTATGTGTCTATATAGACTGAGTGAAAAGAGAAAGAAACAGGGAGATAAGTGGTGTTATTACAAGTTGAATATAATTAATTAGTCAGCGTGTTGCTTCATAACTTTATAGGTTTCATATTAATTAATAATTTCATTTCCTTCTTAAAATTCAATATTTTCTGCTGGGTTTTATCCAAGTGCTAGTGCCTTAACATTTGTCAACAATGTTAAAACCTAGTTTCAATTCTCAAGTATGCCAATAATGAAGAAATTAAGCAAAATCATAACAATTCAACATTTTCTGAATTAAATAATAACCTGATAATATTAGTATTTTGAGATTTGATTATGTATGAATTAAAAATACTTGAGAATTTATGTGAACATGGGAGGAATCACCTCTGTGAGTTTTCACTCACTTCTACTTATAATTAATTAATTTGACCACTATAGACTCAATTACATTATTGTTTGGAAAATACTACACATAGAGAATCAACTGTAGCTTTTCTTATTCTAAATTTCAACATACGATAACAATTTAACATGACACAGTAAGGACATTCAATAATGTAAAAGATACATAAAGATAATCTTGATAATTTGTGGGTTTCTGATATTATTAAAATATTATTGAAATAATCTAAAATTCAGAAAAAAGTTAAAATGAGACTTTTAGGTATCTATTGAAAATTTGTTAAGATTAAAAGATGTAATCCTAATATAATTAGTAAAAGGTGATATACAAGATAACACTTTCAATGTGCTTTTACAAATAGATCAACATGGTTAGAGCGCATGTAATGTATACTTGTATTAATTTACTTTTCACACTTTTTAGAGTCAATGTTACGTAGTTTAAGCATACAGGTCAAAGTTATAGAAAAGTTATCTATGGGAGACTTTAATGCCAAATTTGTATAACATATGAATTGAGTATGGACAAAAGAAATACCTGATGGAAAAAGGAAGCACTTTTTCTGTATGCTTTGTGTGTCCTCTTGTGGCTGGAGAGAGCTATATCGTGTACATATTCTTTAATTCTTCAATTCTTTATACTTTTTTTTTAACTCTTTTGTCTTGTATAGCAAACCTATGGTTGATAATGCTTTTCAGTGTTCCTAATTATGTATTTTACACAATAACACATTTTATTAATGCCTATTGATTTTTATTGTGATATTACTGAATTTTACCTCTCATTTTTCTTCATAAATCTCTTAAGATATGATCCAAAAAGTGATTCGTGGTCAACTGTGGCACCTTTGAGTGTTCCTCGTGATGCTGTTGCAGTATGCCCCCTTGGAGACAAACTCTATGTGGTTGGCGGATATGATGGTCATACATATCTGAATACTGTTGAATCATATGATGCTCAGAAAGATGAATGGAAAGAGGTATTATAGTAAAAATCTTCATGTTATTATATTTCAGAATTTATATATCAAATTCTTGTGGTCCATTATTTCATTTAATTTTCAAAAAACTTTGAGTAGTAGTATCATTAGCTGTGTGAAAAAGCACAGTTGAAAAACTGAGAAAATTGTCACAAAAGTAAAAACTTAATGCCAAAGCACCTGATCTTCCAGAAGCCATCTACAGTCTTCAATGATCTGAGCTGCAACTTCCTTATTTAAGGACAAGGCAAAAGTTGGGTCAAGGCAGTAAAAATTCTTTGAAGGCCAACCTTCTGGGTTATACTAAAGGCAGTGTTTCTTTTTTGTTTGTGTTTTAGGAAGTACCTGTGAATGTTGGAAGAGCCGGAGCATGTGTTGTAGTTGTGAAGCTACACTGAAACTCTCATTAGCTAATACAATGGAATAGAATTATCTCAAGAATGAAGAAGACATATCCTCTTTTCAGAAGTTGATAGCAGATTCAAATGCTGTTGTGTTGTTTTCACGTGTAGTTGAAATTTTTAACATTCATACGGCTGAAAAATGTGGATTACATGTTACTGTTGAGTATATGTGCTGTCTCAGCTTATAATCTAATGCAAAATCCCATGGGCTATGTTTAGCCTCATTAGCATAAAATGTTAAAGTACCTAACAAACATTTGGCAGTGGGCAGTATTTGAAGGTGATGAATGCATTAACAGTTTTCGTGTAAGGGTCTAGGAAGTAAAACATTTTCTATTGAAGGTACTCTACCATCTGGAATAACTTAATAAAAAAGAATGACAGAAGCTTTAAAGCATACCATCTTGTTTCAAACAATAGCTCACCTAGCTAATAATACCTCACATTAGCCAAGAAGAAAGTGTTTTCTGTGCCATGCATGAAACAGGTCATTCACTGATGTAATTTCCTATACTAATTACACAATGTCAAACTTTTCACAGGCTATTATTTTCAGTTAACTTTCTGCTAAAATATGTATATAAATTTTCTATCCCATGACATGGTGTGTTGATAGATTCATTTGCAGTAAAGTATCATAATGTCGCATATACAATCTATCATCTAATAGTGAATATTATATTGTTACAAACTTTGCCTGAGGGCCTCATTGTACAGAAGTTTATTCTTTCCTCAAACATTTAATATTTTCTCAATAAACACCTTCCATTATGTTAAAATTTGATCTAAACAAAGTTAAAGTTGAGAATATGATGCACAATATTAACAACGGAAACACTAAAAAGTTTAACATAGATAGTCAATTCTATAATTTTTCTTTACTTATCTATACCTAATCTTTTAATTTCATAATCATGTTTACCTAGCAGTAAATAGTAAAGACACATGTACTACAAAACTATACTTTTGAAAATAAAAATAAAAAGAGTATTTGAGTATTACTTTAGCTTTTATTTTATTTTCATTTACACTACTTAAAGATAAAACATTATGGTGAAATATTGAAAACTCATGTTTTTGAAGTTAACTTTTCAAGTAAATGTTCCATTTTTGAATTTCTATAATACTTCTCATAAAAGGAACTTTGCCTTGTAGAATATCAAAACAAGCAACAAAATCCAGAGTAATGCTTTAAAAATGCTACTTACTACCTATTAATTTTTTTTAATATCACAGCATATGTTGAAAAAAGGTATTTGTACTTTGGTAAATTGAATCTAAATAAAATCTTTTCCATCTGACTATAATGATTGTCATTCTAAAATATGTCCAGTGCAAGTTGTATGATTTTTCTGATGCTGTAGTGCCCCCAAAGCAAAAATATTTTAATGCTAATACACAATTCCCCTCCTTTGTTTCTTATTTTGTCTATAATTCTCAACAAAGTGGTGCAGACTTCACATCAAAGGTGGCATAGAAAGGTTAGCATACACACAAAAAAAGAAACATAAGACATTTCTGGATTTTAATGTTTATTTTAGCATTTTTTAATTATACATACTAATAAGTTGCCTTGTGACATTTCCTACATGTACATAAGGCATGTTTATCATATTAATCCTTTATATACCATCTCTTTTCTTCCCTTAGTCCTACTAATCTCCTCTCTCTCCTTAGCTAGCTCTTTCTTTAATAACTTTTATATTTACCTTTTTGAACTCACTGTAAACAAATGAGTTCCATTAGTGCTATTTACAGTAGCATGGGTGACAGGTTGGTTAGATGTGTTAAATTGTATTTTTATCAAATTAATGTGAAAGTACAAATGTCACAATTCTTTAACCCCATCACAATTTTTTCCTCATGAATATGAACATGTTTGAAATGGAGAACACAGATTTTATTTATTTTGTATTTTATTTTTAAAAAAAAAAAACCTATCGTTTTTTTCATTTTACATAACAATCCCAGTTTCTCTCTCCCCTCTTCCCATTCCCTCCACCTTCCTTCCCACACCCCACCCCCTCTTCAGAGAGGGTAAGGGTCATTGCTTTAAGGAAAAACCAAGGCCTTCCCTACTATATCTACAGTGAGCAAGGTATTCCCTCCAGAAACAATGGATTTTAAAAAGTCAGTACAAGCAGTATGGATAAAAGCTGGTCCCATTGCCAGTGGCCCTGTAGTCTGCCACAGCCATATAACTGTCACCCACATACAGAGGGCTTAATTTGGTCATCTGCTGATTACTTCCCTGTCCAGCCAGAATTGATGAGCATTCATTAGCTCAGGTAAACTGTTTCAGTGGGTATCTTGATCTCTTTGCTCATATTCTCACTCCTCCCGCTCTTTGACTAGGCTTTGGGAGCCCAACCCAGTGCTCAGCTGTGGATCTCTACCTCTGCTTCCATCAGTTGCTGGGAAAAGTTTCTATGGTGATATTTAAGATTGTCATCAATCTGACTACAGAGCAAGGCCAGTTCGGGCACCCTCTCCACTATTGTTTACGATCTTAGCTGGGGTCATCCTTGTGGATTCCAAGGAATTTATCTCATGACAGTCTTCTTGACAGACCCATAATGGCTCCCTCAATCAAGATATCTCTTTCATTGTTCTCCATCTCTGTCCTTGCTCCATCTCAACCATCCCATTCTGTAAATTCTCCTCCTCTTAGACCCTTCTTCCCTCCTCTTCCTCTTCTGCCTTTCCTTCTTTCACTCCCAATGCTTCTAATATTCTCAAGGAGATCATTTATATCCCCTCTTCCCAGGGGGATCTATATATGTTTCTCTAAGGATACTCCTTGTTACTTAGCCTCTCTGGAGTCATGGATTATAGGCTTATCCTTTGCTTTACAGTTAGAATCCACTTATGAGTCAGTACATAGCATGTTCATCTTTCTGTGTCTGGGTTTCCTCACTCAGCATGTTTATTTTTTTCTGGTTCCATCTATGTACAGCAAATTTCAAGATGTCATTGCTTTATATTGCTGAGTAGTACTCCATTATGTAGCTATCACGGTTTCTTTACCCATTCTTTGGTGGAGGAGCATCTAATTTGTTTCCAAGTTCTTGATATTACAAATAATGCTGCTATGAACATAGTTGAACAAATATCCTTGTAGTATGATTGAGCATCATTTAGGTTATGTCTAAGTGTGGTATTGCTGGGTTTTGTGGTAAGTTGATTCCCAATTTTCTGAAAACAAAAACAAACAAACAAAAAAAAAAACACCATACTCATTTCCAGACTGTTGTACAAATTTGCATTCCCACCAGCAATGGAGGAATGACCCCCTGCTGCACATCCACTCCAACATTAATTATCATTACTGTTTTTTGATTTTAGCCATTCTGATAGGTGTAAGATGGTATATCAGAATTGGTTTGAATTGCATTTCTCAGATAGCTATGGATGCTGAACATTTCTTTAAGTATCTTTTGCCCATTTGAGATTCTTCTTTTGAGAATTCTCACTTAGACATTTATCCCATTTTTTAAATTAGATTATTTGATACTTTGATGTCTAATTTCTTGAGTTCTTTATATATTTTTGAAATCAGTTCTCTGTCTTATATAGAGTTGGTGATGATATCTTCCCATTCAATGTGCTGCCTTTTTATCTTATTGACTGTATTCTTTGCTTTACAGAAGCTTCTCAGTTTCAGGAGGGCCCATTTATTGATTGTTGTTCTCAGTGTCTGTAATATTGGTGTTATATTTAGAAAGTGGTCCCCTGTGCCCATGTATTGAAGACTACTTCCCACTTTCTCTTCCATCATGTTCGGTGTAGTCATATTTATATTGAGGTCTTTAGTCCATTTGAACTCTATTTGCATTTTTCCACACGTTGACATCAAGTTATGCTAACACTGTTGGTTGAAGATGCTTTTTTTCTATTGTTGTGTAATTTTAGATTCTTTATCAAAAATCAGGTATTCATATGTGTGGATTAATACCTTGGTCTTCAGTTTGATTCCATTGGACAACCTGTCTCTTTTTATGCCAATAAAAACAGATTTGGAATTTAAATGGGAATTGCATTGAATTGCTTTTGGTAGGGCTGCCATTTTTATTATGTTGATTCTACCTATACAAGAGCACAAGAGATCTTTTCATTTTCTTTTTCTTTCTTTTTTTTTCTTTTTTTTTCTTTTTTTTTTTTTGGTTTTCCGAGACAGGGTTTCTCTGTGGCTTTGGAGCCTGTCCTGGAACTAGCTCTGTAGACCAGGCTGGTCTCGAACTCACAGAGATCCGCCTGCCTCTGCCTCCCGAGTGCTGGGATTAAAGGCGTGCGCCACCACTGCCTGGCCTTTTGATTTTCTTTTATCTTCTTCTATTTATTTCTTTGAGGAATTAAAAGCTTTTGTTGAACAGGTCTTTCTCTTCTTTGGTTAGTTTTACCTCAAGATATATTATGTTATTTCTGGCTGCTGTGAATGGTGATGTTTCTCCGATTTCTTTCTCAGCTTTTTTATCATTTGAATATAAGAGGGCAACTGATTTTTTTTTTAGTTGATCTGTATCCTGTCACATTACTGAAAGTATTTATTATCTATAGAAGTTCCCTAGTAGATTTCTTGGGGTCACATATGTGTACTATCATATCATCTTCAAATAGTGAAAGTTTGACTTCTTCATTTGAGTCCCCTTTATGTTCTCTTATTGCTCTAGCTAGAACTTCAAGAATTATGTTGAATAGATATGGAAAGAGTCTACAGACTTGTCTTGTTCCTAATTTTAGTGGAATCACTTTGAGTTTCTCTCCATTTAATTTGATGTTGGCTGTCTGCTTGTTGTATATTACTTTTATTATATTTAGATATGTTCCTTGTATCCCTGATCTCTCCAAGACCTTTATGATAAAGGAATGTTGAATATCATCGAAAGCTTTACAACATCTAATGAGATAATTTTATGGATTTTTTCTTTCAGTGTATTTATATGGTTGATTACATTGATAGATTTTTTTAATGTTGATCCATCCCTGAATCTTTGGGATGAAGCCTAGTTAATCAGGGTAGATGATTTTTTTGTTTTCTTGTATTTGGTTTGCCAGTATTTTATTGACTATTTTTGCAACTATGTTCATGAGGGACAATGGTCTGTAATTCTCTTCCTTGGTTGAGTCTTTATGTGGATTCAGTATCAAGGTAACTGTAACCTCATAAAAAGAATTTAGCAAAGTTCTTTCTGTTTCTATTTTGTGGAACAAATTGAGGAGTATAGGTATTTGCTTTTCTTTGATGTTCTGGTAGAATTTTTGCTAAAACTATCAGACCCTGGTCTTTTTGTTGTTGTTGGGAGGCTTTTGATGACATCTTCTATTTGTTTTTAAATTATGTCTACTTAAATTGCTCACCTGGTCTTGATTTATGTTATCTTTGACTGATGAATCTATTTTCTCTACGGTATCTTTAACACCTGTGATTCTCTCTTCCATCTCTTATATTCTATTGGTTATGCTTGCATCGGTACTTCCTGATCATTTAACCAAATTTTCCATTTTCTGAATTCCCTCAGTTTATATTTTCTTTATTGCATCTATTTCAGTTTTCAAGTTTTGAACTATTTTGTTCGCTTGTTTGTTGGCTTTTTCCTGGTTTTCTTGAGTTTATTTAAGATATTTTTTGATTTCATTCAATTTTTGTCTTTTCCTTCATTTCTTTAAGGGGATTTTTCATTTCCTCTTTAAGGGTCTCTATCATCCTCATAAAGTTATATGTAAGGACATTTTCTTCTGCTTCCTCTGGGT